GACCCAGAAAGATTAAGTGACTAAACTGACATTACAGGATCATATAGGATCTAGAGCTTACAGGGACTTGAGGTGCTGTCTGGCCTAACCCCTTTACTTGTGAAACTGGGGCCCAGGGATGGCAAATAGCTTGCCCAAAGTCCCCCAAGTATTCAGGAGAAGTCTTAGAAATTAAGTTCAAACTGAAGTTCTTTCTACTTCTCCATGCTACCCAACTGCTAAAATATATTATATTTATACATTTCACTTTATTTTCTTTCTATTTTTTTCCCCTTTGTGTTGTCTGAATTTAGCAAAAACCTTCAATTTACCTACACAGGAGAGAGAAGAAACCCAGAGTTCAGAATTGGCCACTATTTTACATCAGTCTAAAACATAATTCTCTGACTTCATCATTGAACAAAGAAAGGGAAGGATACTCAACAAGCAATAACTCTGAACTTCCTATGTACCAGGCCCTGTTCTAAGCTCTAAGAATATAAATAAAAATAGTAAAAACAGTTCTTGACCCAAAGAATTTTACTATTCTAATGGATATAGTAGGAAAGTCCCTAAGTTTAATTTTCAAATAAGATTCAACTATAATTTTGGAGAGAGAGTAATGAATCTACACAGTATTTGATAAATCTTATATCTACATCTATATTCAAATCTCTATTACCATCTACATCTATAGACATATGTAGAATCTGTATCTATATCCAAACCCATATTTATATCATGTACATCTATATGAGCATCTACATTTATATCTATTTCACCTACATCTGTATCTTCTGTATCACCTATACCTATATATATCACCTAAATCTATATCATCTCTGTATCTAGTTCTCTATATCTATAATATCACCTACATCTTCTATATAATCTAGATCTATATCTAGTCTATATATATGTATATATATATATATATATTGATATCTATATCTATATGAACAGATCCCAAAGTCTAAAATATACATATTGTTTGAACTTCCTATGTTTACCTTCATTATGATGAGTAATTAAGTTGAATTGACTACTTCAGATTTTGTAGTTTTGTTCATTAGACCATGGCTTAAGTGGATCTATTCTGTATTTTTCATTAGCTTTATTTACTCATTTGACATTTTATGAATACATATGCCACTGCATGGCAAACAGCTAGAACTACAGGGTATTTTAAATGATTTTTACTGACTTTCTTATCATCAAATTTATACAAGAGGAAAAAGCATTGTTTACATTTCCATGGAAAGCTTTTGTTTCAGTAGTTGGGACAATCCAAATTATCACCCCTGAAAGAAGCCCCCCAAAATAGTATTAGTTAAATACCCATTTTAATCTTATATGACATATTCATTATTACTAAACATATATGCTTGTAAATTTATAGTTTCACATTGTAATGTATAAATACACTTAATATGTTGTTTGTATCCTTTGTATTTATTATTTCTGTGGATACTATTAGCCTAGAATCATTACTCTATTAAATGATTATAGATGAAGTGTCTTCTTCCTACTCTACCTATCCCAGTACCAGGAAAAAAAAAAAAGACAAAGCAATGAATCTATCAGGAAATCAAAGCCTAAAAACTGAAGGGAGCCAAAAAAACTCACACTGTTGTTATCCAGCATTAGAATTGGAATGATACATCATCTATATTTTGCCATTCCCTTGGTGAAATCAAACTTGGGCACTAATCACTGGGAATTAACATTGGGGAACATGCACCAGAATGAGACCTTGAGCCAATAGCAGAGTAAAGAGTCATTCTGTTTGTCCAGAGGTACTGCAGGAACCTGAGGTGCAGAGGTAGTCAACCTGATTCTAAGAACTTGACCTGTTAGTGCATGTGAGTGTTGGGGATGTAAACTTTCCTATTTAACTTAAAGTTTGTTTTCTCTCTCTTTTCTGATTCTCATCTATATTTACCCCTTTAATATATTGTTGGTCATATCTATCATTTATTTAATACAAACTTTCTGGTTAGGAACGCAAACCCAAATTATATCATCATTTTTATAGGAAAATAAAATCTGTGTTTACAGGAACTCATCATAGGGAAAAATATGCAAGGACTGCCTGTGTTTGCATAGAAGAGACCTCACTGTGTCACTGTTTCTTGATGAACCATATAAAATTTTACAGATAATTTATATGTTATATATCTATACATATTTGTATGTACATATATATGTGTGTGTATATATATGTGTATATGTATATGTATTCATGTGTACAACACAAAGACATATATATATCTGCTGTTGCAATAATGTCAAGAGATATATTTTGGGGTTTCACTGATTGCTTATTCAAAAACACATACAACCAAACCCACTAAAATATGCTCAAAATGACCTTAGATTTTCTCCAATGATTACAGACATTCAGAAACAGTGAATGGAGTAATTGGATGCCTAAAAATAACTGAATTGTCCTCCTACATTGAATGTTTCTGAATTTTAATAGATGTGTGAGTTTTTTGTATATTGCTATGCCCCCACTTTCATTAGTGAGGTTTTATCTTCTTTCAGTTTCTATTAAAATAGATTTATGTGTGTGTATGTGTAAGAACTATATCCTTCAAATTCAACATTTTACATCTAAGACCTTTCCCATCAGTTCTAAAATTCAGCAGATTTCGTTGTGTGTATATCATCTGCAAATTACTTATCTTCACCATGAGAGGAAATGTACAGTTCCTTACTAGACTGATAACATTTTTAGAAATGACCTTATAAGTTATATTCATACACTTTAATTTTATTAATGGGGAAACTTAGACCTTTGAACCTCATTCATTCATTCATGCAACAACCATCTCTTAAGTGCTTACCATGCCCAAAACCTTGCACTAGGGATTAATCCAAACCTTAAGAATTTGAGAATTACTGTATATGTGACAAAATATATAAACAGTTTAATTTGTCAAATGTTAAGTACTTTTTATGTACCCTGGAGATAAAAAGACTAAATTAAAAGTCTCTGCCATCAGAAAGCTTACATTCTGTTGAGAGAAAGATAACGTCAGGTAGATTAGTGAATACATGGTAATTTGAGGGAGAAGAGAGCTATAACAATTGGGGGGAAAAGGCAAAATGATCAATTAGAAGTCTTTTACAATAGTCCGGGGTAGTGGTGATGAGAGCATGAATGAGTGTGGTTATTATGTCAGTGTGGAAAATGGAACAAAACAGTAAGTGACTTTATGAATGTGTCATTGACAGGATTTGTCAACTGAAAGGATATGAAGGGTAGGAGAAGGCTTGTAGCTTGTAGTTTGACTTGTAGCTATCATGATAGAAATAAGGAAGTTTGGGAGAGTGGTGGGATTATGGGGGTGGAGAATAATAATAATAATGTGACTGGGACCACTAGTAGAAGTCTGTCAGGCTGTTGCTGATGTCAAATGGGAGTTCAGAAATGACATTTTGAGATGGGTGATTTGGGTTTGTGACTTCATCATTTTCATCACTATCAGATGTCCTCCCAGGCCTTAGCACAGCCCTCTCTCACTTAAATCCAATTCACTTGCATGTTATGGTATCACATCCCTCATGTCATGGCCTTCTTGGAGCATGAAGGACAAACAGCAGAAGCAGCACTATCAGATGTCACAGAGTGATGAAGATGATGAGGTCACAAACCCAAATCATCCATCCCAAATTTTACTCTTAAGCACCTAGTCTAGGGAGCAATTATCTTTGGAAATTAAATATTAAATGTTAAGCACAAAATCTACCAGTAGTCAAGTAAACACTGGTTTTTGTTTGTTTGTTTGGGGGGAGAGTTGTCTTTAGGAAAGGAAGAAGGATGAGTTAACCAAACAAACCATGAAATTTTTAATGACTGTAGACTGCAGTGATGAAATCCATTAATGTGCTTCTCCTTAATCTCTTTTTCAAGGAATTTTACCTGAACCAAAATAAGTATTTCCTTGATAATGGGGTCTTATCTTTGACTGTGGATAGATTCATTTGGGAACATTCATGTCTGGACTTAGCCTCATTTGATTATAATGTAGCCCATTTAAAAATGGAGCAGCATTAAATGAATCCTGATTTAAATGGCAATACCAGTAAAACAAGGCTAGCAAAATCTCAAGGGAGAAAAACTTAATAAGGCTCTAAGTTTCTCAATATAAATTTAAAAGAAATGCCTTACTAGACCTTGAAGAATTGTTCATTAGCCTGTAGCTATATGGGAGATAAAGGCAGGCCCCAGAAGAAAAGTTGCTTCTGAGGGAAAAAAAAAAAGCGGCAGGTGTGTGTGTGGTGTGTGTGTGTGTGTGTGTGTGTGTGTGTGTGTGTGTGTTAGTATAAAAGGAGGAGTAGGAAGTTAATTTCTGCTGATAAACTTAGGAAGGGAGAAGTTAATGTTTTGTTTTGTTTTATAGCCCATATATACATAGATGTAATATTAACTGCATTTGAGAGAACATTTTCTGTGGGTAAAGTTCTCCAATATAATTTTAACATTTTTATTCATTATTTTGCATTATTGGTGGATTTTCTTCCTGACCAACTTGCCTCCAACATCAATAGTGTTAAATAAGAAAATGTTTCATTTCACATGGAAAGAAAATTGTGTCCTTGAAACTTTTCACCCAGAATGATACCTGTACAACACATTTATAGTATTAAAATTGGGGTTAGGTTGCAAATGTCTTTTTTGATAATCACAAAAGATACTCTAGGCTGTGTAGGGGGATTGATTAATGTCTGCCTCCGTTCTGCAAAAGGTACCCATGCATTGCACCCTGCAGACAGCCATTCATTGCTTCTACTACATCTTGGTAAGTCATCTGTCTTCTCAGGTTGGAATCACTTTAATTTTTCATTGCTCTTAAGAAAATCAATTTCAAAGATGGAACAACAAAGAAAAATGCAAGCCAGTGATTGGTCTCTATCTTGTTTATAGCTTTTAATGATATAAATTTATTCATTCAGTAAATAATTACTAAGAGGTGTTTTTTTTTTTGTACCAGACCTGGGGATGTGGAGAAAAAAAAGAGAGTCCTTGCCCTCAAGGACCTTACATTTCCACAAGACAAAATGACACCTACATATATAAAGAGATGCAAATTAAATAAATGTAATTGGGCACAGGAAGACTTAGCAACTGAAGTAAACAAGAAAAAGCCTCAGGTAGGAAGTGGCACTTCATCTCCCTCTTTTAATTGATTATCTAGAACTCAATCACAACACTGTATTAAAAATATAAATAGCCATGGGCCAACTCTGAAATATAGATTCTGGTGTTTGTTTTTGCAAATAGTCAGAGAGAAAGACAAATAGAAGAAAGATCCATAGGAACAAATAGAAAGGAATGTGAATTACTCATAATCCTGATCCAGAAATTCTATGAGGCTTGATTGACCTTGACCTGGGAGCCTAAAGAAAGTGGGAGTAAGAATATATTTAACTTTGCAGCCTATAGACTTTTAATGATCTAACTTAGGATGGAAGACTAGGTTGGAGACTTCTGTCATTCTCCAGTCAGTACCTCTTATCAGCCTACTCCTTCATCCAATATCCTGTTTGTCTTCCCAGTGGCAGCAAAAATAAATAAATAAATTATGTGTACTATTTTGCAAGGCTATGAAATAGCCACATATTGAAAAATTTGAGTGTTAAATGATTAGTCCAGTGAGTTAGAGGAGAAGTAAGAATAGCAATAAGATATGACTTTCAATTCTTCAGCTCTTGCACTCCAAGATATTCTTTACTGAATGCATAAAAAAAAATAGTAACATGGGTAGGTAAAAAATAAATATTTTACAGATGCCCTCTAAGTGTCTTCTTTAGTCAGTTCTATAATTCTACTTTAATTTTTAGTTTCTTAGATGAAAGTAGTGAAGTTTTCATATTATTGCCAAGGATTAAGTGTGAACACATAATGAAGGTACCAGGGGATAACTTCTTCCTAATCATAGATTTTGATTGCTGCCATAGCCCATTGTTTTTCTGAAATTATAAAGCTTTACAGCTATTGCTGTGGTTCCTTATGCTTTTACTTCCATCAAGCAGCTTAAGCCCAGTCTTACAAAAAAAAAAGCCTATTATTATTCCACTAAATTAATTGAGATTTAATCCATTCCTTTTCTGGAAAATTGTGCAAATGACTTTGATAACTCAATCAAAATTTTCATAATTCAGTTTTGTTCTAGCCACTTTGTATCTGTACTGTGTCAACTGCTCTCTCATAATACATTGTAGCCAATTCAATATTAACTTTCTGAAAATAGCCATATTTCGGAGAGAATTGTGTTATACATTTCACCTGAGATCTTGGAAAATGAAATCCTATATGTCAGTTGACCAAGGGAATAATAAGTACTGTTTATTAGATGCAGAAGGTATAGTGGGGCCCTTCTGGGGCCACTTTCCAAAATCCTATTTGCATTGTGGGATCAGGTCCCCAGTGAATGGCAAACTCTTTTTTAGGGTAACCTTGAAGGTATGGGTTTCTAGTAATGTTGTTCATAGGAGCCAGCCAGAGTTTCCCTAAAGGACTTTTAGCCCCAAAATTACTAGGATGCAGCTACTTGATATGTTGAATAGAGTCCTAGACTTGGGGTCAGGAAAATATGATGCCATTTTCCATCAATGGGCCTGCTTGATTTTGATTACATGGAATATCATGCCTCCCCTCAGGAAAAGCTAAATCACCTGATATCTCATCGCCATGCAAATTGACTCAGCTTTTGATACCCAAAGCTTCTCAACTCTCCTTTGCCTCTTTGTTTTGATTGAAGGGCTGGAGGACAAAGCAATAAAGCTCTCCATTTTCTCTCATGCCTCCTTCATTAGTAATTTTAACCTATTTTCTATCTTCCGAGCCTTGCCGTGTATTATTCTCATTAATATAGTGCTATTGTTGTCTTTTTTCCTTCCCCGGCCCAGTCTTGTTCTAAATTGTTATTCCATTTCCTGCTACCCAACTTTGTATAGGCTTCTTCCTCCTGACTGGAGTTCATTACTTCTCACCTCTGACTTTTAGAATCTTTACCTTAAAGTGTAATTTCTGCGCCACCAGCTATGAAGAACCATTACTGATCCCCCTACTTGTTAATATGTTTTCAGTCCTAAAATTATCATGTCTCTACCTTTACATATATGTGAAAATACTGTATTCCTCAGTACAATATCAACTTCTCAAGGGCAATAATGAATCTTCTTTTTATCTTTATGTTCCTGTACCTATCACAATGCCTATTCCAGATTAGAAACAATAAATTCTTGGTGGAATGGATTATATTTCATTGGATAGGATAAGAGAAATGTGTTGCTATTCAGAAAAGAGCCCAAGATCTAACACATTACCCACTTCAAATTTAATCGCAAAAATAATAAGATATCCCTTAATGTGATGTAGGGGTAAGAGTTGTACAAATGTATAATGTAGGAGATTTCATTTACCCTGACTTGGAACTGGTTCTTTCTGTGATTTGGTGAAGAATTTTCATCTATCAAGAGCCAACATTTATCTCAGACTATCTGAGGGCAGTTTGGAGGTGCTAAATGGTCAGAAAGGCAGAATTTCATTGGTGTGTTTACACTGCTTCTCTGGTTCTTCTCTGCCTAAAGACACTGGGAAAAATGAATTAGATTCAAGCTCCATATTTTTGACTTTTCATAATACAATGCAGCAACATGATATATTGTGCTGTCAAATGAACATGGAGACATATTCTAAGTCTCTTTTTCATAATGAATTGTTGACCAAGATATGTAGAGCTATCACTGAAATACACTGAAATGAAGTATGGCTGCTATTTAATAGGGTAGACTAACATGACCTATTTTAAAATATCTTAAGATGTGTCAGGCTTATTGTTCCCAGAGGAAGCTAAAGGGAGATGTGCTAAACTGTGCTGAATACATGGAAATACATATGTATATTATATTCATGGGCAGTTTTTGATTTAGGTCGCTGAAAATATCTGTCCTTTGCAAGCACTCTTTGCCCCAGAGAAAGAAGGAAAAAAAAGCATGCTGAAGAGACATTTGTTATTTACACTATGATTTTCTTTACATTTTTTTGTGAGATCTAGTTTGTTTTTTTCACAGTTCAATATTTTAAAAAAATAGGAAAGATTATAATTTAACTGTGACTTCACAGTTATTTCAGGCAAAATCTGTAAAGTTGTAAGATTTACAGTGACTGGTTTAAGGTCAATTTGTCAAGCATTTATTAACCCTGACTATGGGCCTTGGCAGTGTGTTAGGTGCTGGGGATAAAAGGAAATAACGCAAACATTCCTCATCCTGCCAAAAGTACATTCTACTGTTTCCATAGAGCAAACAAAGGCTCAGGGAAGGCAGTGAAACTGGTACTTAATAGCAGGGAAATGTGTTTGTGTGAGTATGGGTTATGGTCTATGAAGAACTTCAGTAAAACTTTTGCCTCAAACTATTTTGTTCTGTTGTATGGACACACACACACACACACACACACACACACAGTAGTGCACACAAATAAAATGCAATGATTTGTTATATTGGAATTTACCTTACCACTCAAAATGCTTTTAAATTTGTCATTGACTAACAACAATGGGAGAAGGGTTGAAAGGAAAGAAAAAGTTTACAGATGCTGTAATCAGTATACTGATCTGCATATAGATCTAATCTCCCCCTCTGGACATCTCCCACTGCCAGATTAAAAGCTATCTATAGGAAAAATGTTAGAAGCATACTGATTCTCTGGCTGAATAATGTTTAATATATGCTATTGAAATTTATTAGGAAATATGTATGTGCATAATTCCTTTATTTCTCTTGCAAAATCTAATGATTTTTTTTTATGAAGTGCTCCTTAGTGTCACTACCACAACTCTCAGGAAGAGGTGTTTAGTGTCTTAGAGAGACCACCAGATGACTTTCTTGTCATCTTATAGGTGTGTGTGATATCAGAATATGTGGTGAATTCTCTACTAAATCTGCCAGCAACAGCAGGGATAACCTCTCATATTGTCATTCAAAGTAACTCATGGTGTTCTCTGAATCTCTCTTTTTCCAGTGATTCTTTCTACTCTAATGGGGTCATTTCTAACGTGACAATTCAGGTTCCTCATCTCAGCTGAGCATGTTTTCTAATGTGTCACTGAAGTGGTAATTCATCTTTTCCTGTCCTTATCACTGGGTATGAAACATTTAATAATTGACACTTTACACGGCCAGTATTAAATCATTTTGTCAGTAGTCTTTCATTTATTGGTCTCCACACAATCATAGCTCTTGTTCTCTGGGTTTGAAAAGAAGCAGATCGGTATTGCCCTGAGAAATGTTATCTTCTACAGCACAGAAAATGCCAAATCATCTTCATGTTGGATCTTGATGACTGAGTCCACTGAACTAAAATGATAGGAACAGCTGGGAAAGTCAATATTGTGCCACTAGACACAACATTGCCTCCTGTAATTTCCAGTCATGATTAGTACCCTAACCTCATTGGCCACTGATTTAGGAAGATAAGTCTTGCACCAGTTTGCGGGGAAGTTAGAGCAGAGAAACCTAGACATGGGTACACAAGTCCAAAGGCTATCATCGCAGGGCGGATATGAGATGACAAATGGCTGATTAAGGTATATACAAGCACTGTCTGGTTTGTCTTCATAAAAGAGGAGTAAGATTTAACAAGGTCCACACGTTTCATGTAATGTGGTACCCGTGGCCATGCAGCTTCTACTCTGTAGGATCCCAGGAGGGACCATGATGAACAAAAAACAGAAAGAGAAATTGGGAGCCATGTCTCTTAGCTAAAGGTCAAATGCAGTTAAATTCAACAATTCCACAAGTGTTCATTAAGCAAGACATTGGGTTAGGCCCTGGGGATAAAAAAAAAGAGAGAGAGAGAGAGAGAAAAATAAAATAGTTTCTGCTGGCAAGGAGATTACATGTACAGAGTTAAGTAAATATGGCTAACTTCAGGCTAAATAGTGATGGTGGGAGGATTAGGAAAGGCTTAATAAAGGAGATAGTATGTCATTTGAGCCTTAAAGAAAAAAGTGGAGATGAGATGGTGCATTCCAGGTGTCATGAATGGCTTATACAAATGTTCAGAGACTAGATATGGGAGAATTAATTCATAGAACTAAATACTAATCCAACTTGACTAGATTATCAAATTATTGAGAAGGTTAAAAAAAAGTCTAGTTGGTTGGAACTAAATTGTGGGCAAAACTGTGATATTGTCATCACTATGTCTGAAAGTACCTGATATTTCTTTATATAGTACTATGAAGTTTCTAAACACTTGGAGATTATGTCATTTGAATCTCACAGCAACCTGGGAAATTACTACTAGAATACTATTATCACATTTTTTCAACAAGTGAACCAAGGCTCAAAAAAGTTAAGTCAATTTTCTTTGCTCTTAGGGCCTTACTGCTGCCTCTTAGGGCCTTCTCTCCAATGCTGCTGGGCCTATCTTTATTGGAATAGATTCATGATTTGGATATTTCCAGTTTCTTCCTCACCACTTAAACTTGTCCTTCCTGCATCCTATTCCTCAGAATTCTGCTTTTCAAGCCAATTCAATTCAATAATTCAACTCAGTGAACATATATTAAACTCTTACTATGTGCCAGGCACTGTGCCAAGTTCTGGGGATACAAATACCAATAAAGAAAGACAGTTTCCTTAAGGAAGTTACATTAAGGAATGTAATTAGGGAAATTAGGGAAGACCAAAAAAAAAAAACCACAAAAAACTGACAATCCAAGGGAGTGGAGAAACTACTTGATATAGGGGCATAATGTAGCCAATCAGAGAAGTCCCAAAGTAGTGCAGCCAGGTGAGATGTGAAGGGATGTCTGAACTCTGAATTAAATAACTAATGCTAATGGAATAGTCAGTTTATGCATTATTTCTTTAGAGTTATATCTTTCATGATTCCACGTTAATTTGGAAGGGGTTTGTAGAGGAGTACCCTAGGGATCTCTGCTTTGGTCTGTTTCATTAACATTTTTCTTGATAACCTGGATAAAGGCACAGATTGCATGATTATCAGATTTGCAGGTGTGATGTTGCTAAGATGGATAACTAACACACATTATGACAGAATGAGCAGCCAAATCAGTCTTGATAATGTATAACATCCAGAGATTATGCTGGCTGGAACGTGAGCATCAGACTGAGGCCTAATGTGGAGTGTGAGAAAAAGATATATAGGAAAATCCCGGGAGAAGTGAAAATACTAGGGAGTCAAATATCTTCTGCATCCAGGGAGGTATGAAGAAAAGATCAGATGAATGGAGGGTAAAATTATTATGTTACTCATTCTGCATATTTAGAAATAATATATTCAGGCCCAATGTTAAAGCATGTTTCAGGTAGGGATTAAGCTGCTTCTTGAAGGGAGCTAAAGAATCTAGGCAGAATTGAAGAGGAAAGTATTCCTGGCAAAGGGGATAACAGCACAAAGGTATGGAGGTGGGAGATACAGTATTGTGTGCAAAGAACAGCATGTAAGTAGTGTGGCTCAATAGTAGAATGTGTGGAGGGAAGAATATAAAAAGACTGGAAATGTAAGAATAGGACAGGTTGTGGAGACCTTTGAATGATAAATAGAGGACTTTATATGCAATCAAGGAGGTAATAGCCTGAGGACTTTACTGAGTGTTGGGGGAGGAATGTCACATAGCTAGACTTACAATTTAGGAAAATCATCTTAGCAGTTTATTGAAGGCTGGATTTGGAATGGAGAAAGACATGAGAAATGAGACAGAACAATTAGAAAGTTATTTCAGTAGTTATTTCAGATGAAAAGTGATGAGGACCTGAAATAAGGAGAAAAGGGGATATATTTGAGAAATGATGTGAAGGTAAAAATGATAAGTTTTGCAATCAAATGTATATGCAGAATGATTGAGAGTGAGCAGTACACTGATATCCCAATGTCACCCTTCGCCCCGCTCCCATAAACTGCTACAGTAGTCATACTTCCTCCATCTAGTATTGTTGAAGCTGATTGAGTTTTTGATTCTGTACAAGACTTTATATTTGTTCCTACTATATTTCACTTATTGAACTTGGTCCTATAGTCTAGTATTTTTTTTTCATTTTCATCATGATTTTGCTGTCTAGAATGTTAGTGTTCTCTCCCAACTTTATTTAACTTGAGAAAAAAAAAGATTGCCTTAATTTAAAAAGAAAAATAAAAGTTAACAATTGGAGGTCAAAGCACAGGTCAGAGAACGCTATAGTGGAGACTTCCTTCCAAGATGACTTCAAAACATTCGTTCCTACTATGTGGGTTTAGCATTTAATCATTTCCAAATCTGACAAATTATATATTATCCGACGTCTCTCCTTTTACACAAGAATTACATGACATTCATTATGAAAAGATTTCCTATAATCTAAGTAAGCCTACATCTTAAGCAATCCTATATTCTACTAGTCTAATAAATTTGTCAAAATAGAAATTAGTTTAAATCATACCAACTTGTCCTTTAAGAAGCCTTGCAGGCTTTTTGTGATTGCTGCTTCTTTTTATATATCTTGGCTATTTATCCCTAAAGAAACATTGTCACATAGTGTCTAGAATGCCAATCTTGGAGTTAAGAAAACCTGGGTTCAGCATTTGCTTTTGACCCATAACAGCTCTGTGCCTATTGGCAAGTCTTTTTTTTTTCCCCCAGTAGTCTTTACAGTGCTCTAATATCACAAGTTGCTGATGTGCATCAGTAAAATAATTTTATACTAGTTTCATACCAGCTACTTGCTGCCCTGTGCATACAACACTATATTTCCCACCTCCTTCCCTTTGCACTGACTGTCCCCTTTGCCAGGAATACTTTCCTCCTCACTTCTACCTTTTAGATTCCTTAGCTGCCTTCAAGAATCATCTTAATTCCCCAAAACATGCTTTATGTTTGGGCCTGACTATATACTACATATTAGGAATTCCACACACAGATAAAATCACATATGAACCCATCCCTACAATAGTCTAATTATTATTTTTGTTATGATACCTCAGCAAATATTTCCTCTTTGTTGGTAAGAATCAGATCCAAAATAGAAATTTATTTTATTGGATCTTTCACATTTTGAAGGATGAAGGTATCATTAAAGCGAGTCAAGAAATTATTAGGTACTTTGCTTTTGGCATAGAGAGAGCTCCAGCAGATGTCTAGGTAATTGAAATATCCCATTACTATTATAGCATGTCTCTGTGCCAGGCTTGTGATCAATTTTCCAAACTCCTCAAATGTTTTCACTTTTTATCCAGGTGGTGGCTAGCACTTGTTTCTGTCTCAGCTGATCGACACTTAAATGCTCACCATGATGATCAGGTTCCTGAATTTCCTAACATGAGTATCTCTCTTAACCTGTAATGCTATTATACCCTCAATTTCTTTTGACCTAGTGAATTTCTTTTGAATAAGCTATACTCATTCAGAGCCATATTCTTTATAGATCTCCTCACATTTCATTTTGCTTTTTCCCTATACTCTGTACATTTCTTCAGAGAAGTCTGAGGGTATGGGCTTCATTAATGGATACTTTCTTGAATTGATTGTCCTGTGAACTTCTAGGCTTCTCTTTTATTCTTCTCCTTGCATTGTAGTTGTTCTCTAAGGTATGAAGCCCAGTGGATATATGCCATCAGTGTTTTTCACCCTTCTCATTTCTTTTCCATTTAAATCTGTTTTATTTAGATTTATGAGATCCCATGCAAATACTTATCAACTGTTATTAGAAAAGTATATCAAAACTCCTAGTGAAGAGCTTATCATTCCTGTATTTTAAACCAAGTTCCAGAAGCTAATATTCCATCTTCAGACATCAAGAAATTGTTCATTTACTAAAATTTTCTTCTTCCCCTAGAATCTATGCCTTTGATGTGCAGTAGTGATGAAAATGGCACTTATGTACATAAATTGTTTAGCATCCTGCTAAGTGTTTTATCATTTTTATCAATGTTTTCTAAGTATTTTTTTTTCAAACAGTATTACTTGTTCCCATTAGAAATGGCTAGTAGTTATATATTTTGGAAGAACTTGGGTGAAGACCAGGGACACATTCTGGCATGTCATGGATGCATTACCAAAGGAGGTATCAGACTATTCTATTGTTATTATCAGGTTTAAAAAAAGGATGCTTTTGAGCACTTTTCTTCTCTTCTTTGGATTCTTACTGGATGATCTCTTACCTGACAGAGGCTGTGGGCCCACAAGATCAGTTCTGGGATGTTTCCTTATTTTCTTTTCAAAGTATGCAGCTTCATCTTCTTGAGAAAAAGACTGATATCTGACCCTTTTTCTAAAAAGAAATTTTAAATATCCAGTGAACTTTGTTTTTCTCCTTTTTCTTCCATGTGAGGGCATAGAATTAACACTCAAACCTTTTTTTTTTCTTTTTGTAGTAGCTGAAAAGTCTGTTGTCCTTCACTTACCTTGTATTGACTGGACTTAGCTCTAAAGAGATACTCTGCTCTGTCCTCTCTTGTCCTCTCTTTCCTTCCCTTTTTTCTTTTTGTGTTCTCTCCTCCTCCCCTCTCTTTTCCTCTTGTCCTTGACCCAGGTCTCAATACAGTACCTGCTGGTAGGAAGTACATCTGTATATTAGGGTGAAAACAAAAAAGTTCACATTTCTGGCATATATACCACAGATTTGTATAATTATTCCTTAAATGCCACATAGTTGTACTTATTAAAGTTTTCTCTCTGTCACCCTCAACAGTACAACAGAACATAAATGAGCAATAAAACACTTTAACCATCTTTGCTATCAATAAGGCATTTTTAAAAAACTGAGGCATCTATATTTTCTCATTCCTGCTTTCTAAACTGTCTGTATCTCTCCAAGTGAGGAGCTGCTTTTCTCAATTTTTCTCATATACTTGTGCCCCATCAATTTTGTTTCTGTAGACCAAATTGACCAACTAAGAAAAAGAGACTGCATTTTGGAAAATTTTTTGTCTTGGGGAGCTATGATGACTGAGTAAGAGGTAAGCCGCTCTCGCCCTCCCTCACTGACCTCTGAAAGCCCAGAAAATATCAACCCTGGAAAAACCCTGAGCCAGCAAAAAGACAGGGCACTACAGTCTTGTACCCCAGGAAGCTTGGGGGATTAATGGGAAAGGCCCCTCTCACTCTGGGGGAGGGAAAGCAGTATAGGACTGGAGGCATCCCAACATGCCAGCAGCAAACCCCCCCCCGGTGATCCTGAGACCCAGGTTGGTGGAGCAGGCAAGTGCCAATACCAGGACCCCCAAGAGCCTTAATAGAGGCAGGGGAACCGGTAGACATCAGCTTGGAAAACCACCATGGGCAATAGCATTCTCCAACAGCGAAATCATCTGGTGCCTCAACACATTTCTGGGAAACACAACTCCAAAAGGCAAAGCTCCAGGCTATCAGACATCCACCAGCATCACAACATCCCCGTGCAAGGCCCAGGCAAAGGAGCTTGGATTACAACCAAGGATCAACTATCCAGAGGAACTGAGCATAATCTTTCAGGGAAGGAGATGGAAATTCAACAAAATAAGGGACTTCCAAACCTTCCTGATGAAAAGACCAGAGCTCAGCAAAAAATTTGACCTTCACATACAAGACTCAAGAAAGGCATAAAATGGTGAACCGGAAAGAAACAACAACAACAAAAACAACATATTAATAAGACAGACTGTTTATATCCCTACAAGGGAAGATGACTTATAACTCTTAAGAATTTTAATGTAATTATGACATTTAAAAGGGGTTATATGTAGACAGAGGGCATGAGTTTAAGTTGACTTGGATATGATGGTAAAAAAGTCTAATTAAGTGGTGAAAAGGGATTGTGTTGGGAGATGAAGAAAAGAGGAGGCAGACAAGGATAAACTACATCACATGAAAAGGCACAAAAGCCAAATAAAATAGAAGAAGGGAGATGAGCATTGTTTGAACCTTACTCTCATCAGATTTGGTTCAAAGAGGGAATAACATAATCAGTTAGGTATAGAAATCTAACTTACCCAATAGGAAATAGAAAGGGTAAAGGGAAAAGAAAAGGGAAGGGGCTAATAGAAGAGAGGACAAACTGAGGGAGGCGGTGGTTGAAAGCAAAACTCTACTGAGGAGGGAAAGGGAGAAAGGAGAGGAAAAAACAAATGGGGTGGGGTGGGGAGGGATAGAATGGAGAGGAAGACACATGTAGTAATCATAACTATGAATGTGAATAGGATGAACATTCCCATAAAACAGAAATGGATGGCAGAGTGGATTAAGTAACCTAAGCCTACAGTATGTTGTTTACAAGAAACACATTTGAAGCAGAGGGATAGACACAGAGTAAAGTTAAAAGGCTGGAGCAGAATACATTATGCTTCAGCTGAAGTAAAAAACCAAAAAAAATCCCCAAAAAACCAAAAAACAAGGGTAGCAATCCTGATCTCAGACAAAGGAAACAGCAAAATAGTTCTTCTCAAAAGAGATAAGGAAGGAAACTACATGCTGCTAAAAGGCACCATAGACAATGAAGCAATATATTTACTAAACATGTACACCAAATGGTATAGCAGCCAAATTCTTAAAGGAGAAGTTCAGGGTGTTACAGGAAGAAATAGACAGCAGAACTATACTAGTAAGGGTACCTCAACCTCCCCTCTCAGAACTAGATAAATCTAACCACAAAATAAACAAGAAAGAAGTTGAGGAAATGAATAGAATTTCAGAAAATTTACATATGGTTGACCTCTGGAGAAAACTGAATGGGGACAGAAAGGAATATGCTTTTTTTCCAGTGGTACATGGAACCTACACAAAAATTAACCATGTACTAGGCCATAAAAACTGCAAGTCCAGTGCAGAACAGAAATGTTAAATGCATCCTTTTCAGATCATGATGCAATAAAAATTACATGTAATAGAGAGCCATGGAAAGATAGACTAAAAACTAATTGGAAACTAAATAATCTAATCCTAAACAATGTGTGGGTCAAACAACAAATCATAAAAATAATCAATAACTTCATCCAAGAGAATGACAGTAATGAGACAATAAACCAAAACTTATGAGATGCAGCAAAAGCAGTTCTTAGGGGAAGTTTTATATCTCTAAATGCTTACATGAATAAAATAGAAAAAGAGGAGATCAATGAATTGAGCATACAACTAAAAAAGCTAGAAAAAGAACAAATTGAAAGTCTCCAATTAAATACCAAATTAGAAATATTGAAAACCAAAGGAGATATCAATAAAATTAAAATTAAGAAAACTGTTGAACTAATAAACAAGCCCAAGAGCTGGTTTTATGAAAAAAACAAAACAAAACAATAAAATAGATAAACCTTTGTTAATTTGATTTAAAAAAAGAAAGAATACCAAATTACCAGCGTCAAAAATTAAAAGGGTGAATTCACCACCAATGAAGAGGAAATTAAAACAATAATTAGGAGCAATTTTGCCCAACTATATGCCAATAAATTTGACAACCTTAATGAAATGGATGAATATTTACAAAACTGTCAGTTTCCCAGATTAACGTAAGAGGAAATAAAATACTTAGATAACCCCATTTCAGAAAAAAGAAATTGAAGGAGCCATCAATGAGCTCCCTAAGAAAAAATCTCCATGGCCAGATGGATTTATAAGTGAATTCTATCAAATATTTAAAGAACAACTAATTCCTAGGGAAAATAGGTGAAGAAGGATACAGAAAAAAATTGACAAAATACAACACTAGAGAACATAGGAATAAATGTAGTCTTCCTTAAAATGATAGCCTCTATCAAAAACCATCAGCAAGCATTTTATGTAATGGGAGTAAGTTAAAAGCATTTCCAATAAGATCTGGGGTGAAATAAGATTGCCCATTATTACCACTGTTACTCAATATTTTGCTAGAAATGTTAGCTGTAGCAGTTAGAGAAGAAAAATAAATTGAAGGTATTAGAATAGGCAAAGAAGAAACAAAGCTATTATGTTTTGCAGATGATATGATATATTTAGAGAATCAAGTAAAAAGTTACTTGAAATAATAAACAAATTTAGCAAAGTTGCAGGATATAAAACAAACCCACAAAATCATTAGCATTTCTATATTTCTGTATTTCTAACAAAGCCAAGCAGCAAGAGATAGAGAAATTCCATTTAAAATCACTGTAGATATGATAAAAATATTTGGGAGTTTATCTGCCAGAACAAACCCAGGAATTATATGAACACAAAGCACTTTTCACACTAATAAAGTCAGATCTAAATAATTGGAAAACTATCAGTTGCTCAGGGGTAGGTTGAGCTAATATAATAAAAATGACTATTCTACCTAAATTAATTTACTTATTTAGTGCCATACCAATCAAACTACCAAAAATCATTTTATAGAGCTAGAAAATACAATAGCAAAATTCATCTGGAAGAACAAAAAGTCCAGAATATCAAGGGAACCAGTGAAAAGAAATGCAAGAGAAAGGGACCTAGCCATATCAGTTCTTAAATTGTATTATAAGGCAGCAATCATTAAAACTACTTGGTACTGGCTAAGAAACAGAGTGGTGGATCAGTGGAATAGGTTAGGTATGCAAGACACAACAGTCAATTAGTATACTAATCTACTACTTGAAAAATCAAAAAACTCCAGATTCTGGGATAAGAAATCACTATTTACTGCTGGGAAATTGGAAAATAGTATTGTAGAAACTGGGTATAGACCAACATCTTATACATTTTACCAAGATAAAGTCAAAATGGGTACATGATTTAGATATAAAGACTGATACTATAAGCAAACTAGAAGAGCAAGGAATAGTTTGCCTTTCAAATCTATGGAGAGAGGAAGAATTTTTGACCAAACAAGAAATAGAGAACATTATGAAATACAAAATTGATTACTTTGATTACATTAAATTGAAAAGTTTTTGCACAAATAAAACCAATGCATCCAAGATTGGGAGGGAAACAGAAAAATGGGAAAGAATTCTTATAACCAGTGTCTCTGATAAAGGCCTCAATTCTAAAATATATAGAGAATTGAATCAAATTTATAAAAATACAAGTCATTCCTCAACTGATAAATGATCAGAGGGTATGAACAGGCAGTTTTCAGAGGAAGAAACTAAAGCTATCTATAGTCATATGAAAAAATGTTCTAAATCACTATTGATGAGAGAAATGCAAAACAAAATGACTCCAAGGTACCACATCACACCTATCAAATTGGCTAACATGACAAAACAGGACAATGATAAATGTTGGAGAAGATGTGGGAAAATTGGAACACTAATACATTGTTAGTCGAGTTGTGAAATGATCCAACCATTTTGGAGAGCCATTTGGAACTATGCCCTAAGGGCTATAAAATTGTACATACCCTTTGAACCATGACTAGGTCTGTATCCTAAAGAGATCATAAAAATGGGAAAAGAACCCATATGTACAAAAATATTTGTAGCAGCTTTCTTTGTGGTACAAAAATTAGAAAATGAGGGAATGCACATCAATTAGGGAATGGCTGAACAAGTTGTGGTATATGAATGTAATGGAATACTATTGTACTATAAGAAATGATAGGCGTGCAGACTTCAAAAAAATCTGGAAAGACTTACACGAACTGATGTAGAGGGAAATGAGCAGAACCAGGAAAACATTATACACCGTAACAGCCATAGTATGGGATGATTGACTTTGATAGACTTCGCTCTTCATAGCAATGCAAGAATATAAGACAACTCCAAAAGACTCATGATGGAAATTGGTATCCTCACACAGAGAAAGAACTATGGACTCTGAATGCAGATGGAAGAATACTATTTGTTCTCCTTTTCCTTTTTTGTTTTTTGTTTTATTGCTTCATTCTCTTGGTTCCTCCCATTAGTTCTAATTCTTCTTTATATCATGTGAAAATATGCTTAACATGAATGTATATGTAGAACCTATATCAGATTGTATACCATCTTGGGGGGAATAAGTGGGAGGGGAAAAAAATTTAAAACTCAAAATATTATGGAAGTGAATGTTGAAAACTAAAAATAAATAAATTACAAAAGATGAGAAAGAAAAAAAATGGGACCTTACATTTATATCATGCGTATACTGTTTATATAGGCTTATTGTGTATGTGTGTATTTACATATATACACACATACATATGTACATATATGTGTATATATGTGTACATATACAAACATGTATATATGCATATATGTGTATAGTGTATATTACAGAAAGGAGAAAGAGGTGTAGTTGTTACTATTCCCTTTTTTTGCCTCAGGGCTATGAAATTGTCTCTTCATATATAATGCCCAAATTAATGAGATTATAGAAATAATCATACACAAATATCTTTCTTCCAAACTGTTCATAATCATACATATAGAGTTAAATACAGTTGCTGCTGGGTGTACAATCAGTATCATGTAGTGTCACGTATATGGGGTCATCGATGAAGGAAAAAAATCTTTCTTTTTATTTCTCCTGATTAATTCTCTTTTTAAAGCAACAGGGACTCAAGTTTTCTGACCTAGAAAATGTGAAAAATAGCATTTGTAATGGGACCACAGCAGGCTTTTCTCAAACTAGGATGAGACTACTTTCATGCTGTAGCCTTGGCACAACCCAGTGATTTTAAGGGACCTTATTTAAAATATGAAAAAATATAATTTTGTCTACATTTTCCTCTTCATTTGATTCCTGCCGCTCTCTAAATCATCTGCTTTTATAGCTGGAATTAATAGAAAACATGATAAGTGAAACAATGATTAACCCCTAGAATTATTTATCCAGTCTCATTTTTATACATATAGTGAAAAACTAGAAAAGCAATTTGATTTAGCATGTATTATTTGTAATTTTCTACCTTCAGAAGATTAGTGCATTGGCTTATTAAGTGGTATTCAATCATAAATCTGCCATTTTTTAAAGCAAAATTAAAGGCAACAATCTACATAATTTTTAAAATTTTAATTTACTTTAGTGCAAAACAGGTCAGTGTGAGTTGGTGTCATGTTATAGAGCATGGGGATAGAACTTGACACTAAATTCTTTGTACACATGGCTCATCTACTATAGCATTAGTGATAAAATCAAAAAAATTAAGCACTATGATGGAGCCAAGATGTCAGAGTAAAGGCAGAGACTCACTTAAGATCTTCTAAATTTCCCTCCCAGCAAACTTTAAAATAATGCCTCAAAACAAATTCTGGAGTGGCAGAACCCACGAAAGGATGGGGTGAAACAATTTTCCAGCCAAAGCCAAGTTAGAAGGTCAGCAAGAAAAGTCTATCACACTGGGGTAAGAGTGGAGTGCAGTCCAGTGCGGTGTGGGCTTCAGCAACCTAGCAGCAAGTCTTGGGGCAAACTTAATTGCCAGCTGCAGCTTCTGGAGCTGCAAAAGGAGATTACAGGGGAACATTTGCTGTTCCTGGGCACAGGACTTTATTGCATTGCCCATGCAGAATTCCAGGTTTCAGTCCCAGGGTGGGGAAGAGCACTAGCACACTTAAACTTGTAGTAACAGAAAAGCAGGGAACCCTGGTCATGTTTCCAGGTTGAAAAGGAGTGCATGTTGTTACACACAGACCAGAGCACAGGCCAGGATAGTTGTGATCATACCACCTTGGAGTATCTGAAAACATAAAATCCCCAGAACTAGCTCTGAAAAGAACAACATAAACAACCTGAGGCTTTGGACAGGAACCCCTCCACTCCAGGAACAGAGTCCAACTTCAATATAATGTAAAAAGTCAAGAAATATTACTTACAACATCACTAATGTGAAAATATGTTTAATAGGAATATATATGTATAGCCTATATCAGATTGCACACTGTCTTGGGGAGGGAGGTGGAGAGGGAAATGGAGAAAAAATTAAAACTCAAAAGCTTATGGAAATGATTGTTGATAATTCAAGATAAATTAAATAAAAAAGAAAAAATCAATAGATTGGATAAAATGAGCAAACAATAAAGAACTTGATCATAGAAAGTTACTGTAGTGACAGGGAAGATCAGAATGCACTCAGATGAAGACAACAAAACCAAAATTACTATATCCAGAGTCTCAAAGAAAGATGTGACTTGGTCTCAGGCCCAAAAGAATTCCTGGACAAGTCAATTTTATTTCAATTAAATGAGAGAAGTAGAGGAAAAATTTGGAGGAGGGGGGAATGAGAGTGATGAAAGTAAATCATGAAAAAGAAAGCTTGGTAAAGAAGGCTCAAAGAATTACTGGACGAAAGTAACACCTTAAAAACAGAATAGGCCAAATGGCAAAAGAGGCACCAAAATTCGTTGAAGAGAATTTCTTAAAAAGGAGAATTGGCTGAATAGAAAAAGAGCTACCAAAAAAAACTCTGAAGAAAAAATGAGGGGGATATCTATTAATTTGGGAATGGCAGCACAAGTTGTGTTATATGATTGTGATGTAATACTGTTGTACTATAAGAATGACAAGCAGGATGCTTTCAGAAATAACTGGAAAGACTTTATGTGAATTGATGTGACATGAGCAGAACCAGGAGAACAATTTACACAGTTAACATACATACTGTGTGATGATCAACTGTGAATGACTTAACTGTTCTCAGCAATACAACAATCAAGACAATTTTTTTTAAGGCAATTGGGGTTAAGTGACTTGCTCAGGGTCACACAGCTAGTAAGTGTCAAGTGTTTGGTCTAAAGCTGGATTTGAACTCAGGTCCTTCTGACTTCAGGTCCGGTGCTCTATCCACTGTGCCACCTAGCTGCCCCAATCAAGACAATTCTTAAAGACTCAGAATGAAAAATACTATTTAGCTCCAGAGGAAGAACTGATAGCACCTGAATACAGATCAAAGCACATTTTTTTTACTTTCTTTATTTTTCTTTATGTTTTAATTGGTCTCTGTTTTCTTTCACAATATGGCTAATAGGGATATATATTTTATATGATTTCAAATTGTATAACATTTATCAAATTGCTTACCTTCTCAATGAGGGAAGAAGATAGGAGGAAGAGCACCTGAATACAGATCAAAGCACATTTTTTTTACTTTATTTTTCTTTATGTTTTAATTGGTCTCTGTTTTCTTTCACAATATGGCTAATAGGGATATATATTTTATATGATTTCAAATGTATAACATTTATCGAATTGCTTACCTTCTCAATGAGGGAAGAAGATAGGAGGAAGGGAAGCAGTTTGGAACTCAATACTTTAAAAAAATTACATGTTAAAAATTATTTTTACGTGTAATTAGAAAATAGCATTAAAAATAAACACCTACAGAAAAAAAGCAATGAGCAACATTCTTTCTACATGATGCCAAAGTTCAGATCCATACTTTAATAATGAAGCAAATCAATCTGCCTTAGAAAATTATAGTTTTCTTCCCCCTTTTCCCCTCCTCCCTCAACTCCAAATCTTAAAGGAAAAGCTAGACTAGTATGTTTTTCAGAGAATTTGTGTTTAGGTATGGATTGCACTAGAATGCCTATGAAGTCCCTTGCATAAGGTCAAAATGACTCTTGTTTGATGCCAATAAGGACAGCATTAAAGATAAGACTCATAAGGTTTTGCAGCAATGATGCTCAAAATGAAAATCCTAAAATATCAGATCAAAGAAATTTAAGTATCCCCCAAGGACCTGGATCACATACTTCATGGATATGAAGCTATCCTCTCAGTTATTTAAACATGGGCAACATAAAATATACTGACTCTATAGGCATGAAAGGCTTACTAACCAGTTCTTAACTGAATGTGGCTGGTGGTAGAAAACATTACACAATTCTGTATCTTTAAGGAAATCTGGTTCTGGGTCCCAGATGTAGATGGATGTCATCATCAAAAATCAGCATTTGTTAATAGAAAGAAAAACAACCACCACCACCACCACCATCAAAACAAAACAATTAAAAGTGAATGGTGCTAAATTACAAAGAATAAGCATGGCTCCATAAATAAATATGGGACCCAAGACAAATTATGCTTGAGATAAATAAAAACATCATAAACAATAAACATAAATAATAACCCATAGGGATTAGATCATGTCTTTGGGGGCTTTCAATGCCAACAGTTGTGGTGCTAATTTACTGCCACATAATTGTAGGAAAGGGTGATATAATTTGTAAAGCAAAAAATCACCACATGTCTGCCAACTATTCCACAGGGTTGATTGCAAAATTGAGATTTCAGCTTTCAGGTTGCAACCTTAGCTGATAATCTTTTCTAGTCTGGACCTCAGATGCTAGTTCCTCATCAAATTTAATCTTTTCAGTTTGTTAAGACATTCCAGAGGTTGGGTTTCACCTGCCATATCCTTTGAAAATGTAATATCACCTCTGGGCCAGAGTAAACATAAAAAGGATAGCGTTCGTGGAGGAAAAGACAAATATGTATTATTAATGGGTTTTTTTTTTACTTTATAAGATAAAGAAGGATTTATGCCACTTTATTTTTAACAAATCAAAGCTAGCATAATTGGAGATTGTTTTGGAGCACTGTGACCATCCATGGGTCACTCTATCCTAGATCACAGAGTAAGATATTATCTGCACTATCCAGCGAAATTCTAATCCACTGGACTAACAGTTACTTACTCCCTTTGTCTTTTGTGCCATAGGTTTTGGCAAAGTGAAGAATGGAGGAAAAAAAATCAAGCAAACATAAACCACCATGTGCTTCCCATATATGCAGGCAACTGTAATTTTTAAAGATTATTGCAAATTAAGACTTTTTGAGGACCACTATTCATTGTCAGTTTTCTTGTATAATAATACAGATGTGCAGCAAATATTGGGGGGCATAAATTTAAACTGAAAGCTTTAAGCATGTCCGTGTAGTCATGCTTTAATAAAAGGAAACAGCCTTTATTATTATTATTATTATTATTTATTTTACCTTTCACCTCAAAGTTACTTGGATTTTCCTCAGTTTATATGTGTGTATGTGTGTGTACGTGTATGTGTGTGTGTGTGTGTGTGTGTGTGTGTGTGTGTGTGTATATATATATATATATATGTTATATATATATATATATGTTATATATAAACACTATATAACACCTCTGCTCTTATTTATAGGCTAACCTATTTCAAGCTATTTCTTGAACCTTTTTTTTTTAATCTTTCCACTAAACATTTCACCTTTTGGGTCCTCAGTGTCATTATCTGTAAACCTAGTATATCAGTGAAAGTTAGTGCTGATTTTTAGACCCTACGGAATATTATTAGGCTTTTATATCACTCTCTTCATTGGTTTTAGTCACTTCATCTCTCAGTACTCTTAAGAATGCACGTACTTTATGGGCCTTTACTATTATTTTCTATCTTCATATTACCGTGTATTTATTTGTCATCTGGTGTATCTCTTCTTCCTCTGTTGCTTTATAAATTTCAAATTCAGATAGAAAACTATAGTGTTAAGTGGAAGTTAGATTAAATGATCTTTAATATTCCTTCCACATCTGAAATTCTACTTTAAAATAATGATATACTATTTCAAAAATATCATTTTAATATTTAAATAATACCTTATATAATCATATAGAACCTTAAGGTTTGCAAAGCACTTTAAAAATACCAACTCATTTTATCCCAAAACATTTATCTTCACTAAATCCCAGAGCTATGTCATTATTCTTCCCATTTTATATATCAGGAAATTTAGTAGGTCAGAAATTAAAAGACTTGCCCACTTGTAAGTGTCTCATAAGAGATTTGAACTTAGGTCTTCCTGACTTTAAGTTCAATGCTCTTACCAAATGTGCCACTTATCTTAGCATATATTGAGAACAGTGCCTGGTATATAGTAGGTGCTTAATAAATGCTAGCTGAATGACTGACTACCTGTATATGTTTATTAAGATCACCACATACCTACTTAAAGACACTATCCACCTGTTTCTAACTAATCTTCAAAGTATTCTGTCTAGAAAATGTAGTTCACTGAAGCAAGAAGAAAATGGAAATACCAAATTCTTAGCTATCCTATATCTCCTCTAGTATAAAACACCTGGAAAGTTATGCTTTCAACGTTTTAACTGAAGACAACTGAAGACAATCTCGAATTAACCAGAAGTTTCACATTTAGTTGTAGAAGCAGAACAATTTATATTTCACCTAGACAGATCAAGTGGCTTTATGAACACCATAAAGCTGGCTAGTAGAAGAACTAGGACCAGAGCACAATTTATTGACTTCTAATCAAATTCATTTTATGCTATAGCTCACTCTCATTTAGTATTTGAACATCATCTTCAATGTATATGTTCCCTCTAATGGTACAGATTTCAGCTTATCCATGTCTTCCCATTCTTTGTGAATGGGAAACTCTGTGTCCGTGTTCTCATGAGTTTTCCACTTGTGTGCTATTGTCCTTCCATGGTTTCTCTTGACATTTAGAATGTGTACTTATTGAAACTAGGAATTGTTTCATTCTTTCAACTTGTATCTCTAGCACCTAGTATGATGTCTGGCACACAGCAGTTGCTTAATACTGTTAATTTTCTTTTGGTTGATTGATTGATTAATGTTGGGAGTATCACTGAAGCATTCTGACAACCATTATCCTTGCCACAAACCAAACCAATTCTTCTTTCCTATCATTTATTTTCTTCATGACATATTTTATGATTGTTCTTTAAAGTTCTTTATTTGATAGCCTGCTCACACCCATCATGCTTCTTATCATAGCTCTGTATGTGACAGTCATTTAAAATTTTTTTTTGGAACCCTTGTAGTCTGTGTCTTATTAACATAAAGCAACACTGGTAAAATGTTCGTATCAAAAAGATAGGCTTCTATTTATGGTCTTAACAAGAGGACCTTTGTAGTTTTCTCCAGGCATTTCAGCCTCCCTACTAGATCTAGTATCCATGATGAGGGCTAACCCTACATCTGGGAAACTTACTCTCCAGGGGCACTTTTTTTTTTTTTGGTAATTCTATCCATATTCTTCCACATATCCTCCATAGAAGAAGATTAGAGACTTTTGTATTTTTTGTTTTGTTTTGATTATTGATTTGGTTGTTTGTTTTATTTGTTGAAATCAATAAAATAGAGAAATCACTGGTTAATTTGATTAAGAAAAGAAAGAAGAAAAGCAAATTAATAGTATCAAAAATGAAAGGGGTGAATTCACAATTAATAAAGATGAAATTAAAGCATATATTAGGCACTGTTTTGCCCAATTATACGCCAATAAATCTAACAACCTAAGTGAATGGATGTACATTTATAAAAAATTTAAATTGTCCAGGTTAAAAGAAAAGGATATAGAATACTTCAGTAAACTTACCTTAGGGGGAAAAAAGTAATGGAACAAACCATAAATGAGCTCCCTAAGAAAAAGATCCCCAAGACCAGATGGATTCACAAGTGAGTTCTACCAAACATTTAAAGAGCAATTAATTCCAGTATTATATGAAACATTTAGAAAGATAGTTATAAAAGTAATCCTACTAAATCTGATCTACAGCACAAATATGGTGCTAATACCTAAACCAAGAAAAACAAAAACAGAGAAAGAAAACTATGGACCAATTTGCCTAAAGAATATTGATGCAAAAATTTAAATAAAATACTGGCAAGGAGAGTATAACAATATTTCACAAAGATCATACACCATGACCAGGGGTGATTTATACCAGGAATGCTCGGCTGTTTCAATATTAGGAAAACTAGCAGCATAATTGATCATATCAATAACATCATATGAATGCATCAATAGATGCAGAAAAAGCTTTTTTAAAAAAATCATTATTAATGTTTATTAAGGAAACAATTTAGCAGCCCTGTATTAACAGAATTATGTAGAATTTATCATACTCTGAAGGCCATTACGATTTCAACCATGAACAAACTATTAACATAACTGTAATTTTTTATACAACTAAAAAGATACTGAGGTTTGTGATATGCCACTGCAAATACAGATATTATTAAAAATCGCAGACTGTTTGAGAACTGTTTTGATAATTTCCTTAACAGCAGCTCCTCCTAAGAATGCAGCAATCATATGGGGTTCAGCAACTCCATACCAATTCATGGATGCTACTATCTTTTACCGTTACAGACAAGCCATGTTCCTGAAGGAAGCTGGTCAGGCAAGATTTCAATTTCCCTGTGTCATCTTCAATTTGATAGTTATAAATTCTTAGATATCTTCCATATCATTTTTGGAATCTGTCAATATCTCAAAGCATTAAGTATAATACTCTTTCACTATCTGGATTATCCATGCTGGAATTAATTTCATTCTTATTAAAAGTGTCCAAGCCATATTCTTCAGTGAGGGATAAACACCTCACCACTCAAAGTAATGCTCAGTTGCTGCAGAGTAATTTTAATTCCTTCTGTGAAATGGACTCTAGTGCTTGACCTATGGATTGAAGCAATTTGGTAGCATGATTACCCACAGTAGCAGCATCTGTTTTTGCTTTTTTTGTGGTAAATATTTTGTAATTTTATAAATTTCTCAGAATCTGCAGTCATATCAGGAATAGTGTCTCAAACAGATAAGTTTCCTTAATCCTCACTTGTCACAAATTCTCTTAAAGCCCAAGCCAAAATTCGAAAGGGTGGTTTGACTCTAGTGATATTGATAGAGTGATCATCATTAAATTTATTTTCAATACTGCTTGGTATCTGAGTAGTACTTAGTGCTGTATTCACATTTTTAATAACTTCTTAAAAATTTCTTCATCTTCTGGAACATCATTTGTATTCTTCAGAATACTTTGTCTAATCAAATCTCTAAAGCCTTCTTTCTCTTTGTATGTTTTAGGTATTTGTCCATTCTTGTCACCGTACCACTGTGCCTAATACTTCTGTGTGGTTTGTCCTTCGTTCTTTCAAAGATGACCATGACATCAGGAAGATAATGACATGACTTGCAGATGAATTGGATTTGTGAGAGGAAGAATTGTGTAAAGTCACCAACCTCACTTTCTCCTCCAGAGCCATCTGGGTCCAGTGACCAGATATATATTAGGATAACTAAAGATGGCCCAGGATGCAGTAGGAGACCTTGGACTTTTTAAGCTAAGGTCTTTCTGAGTCTCACTTTGAGCAAGACAAGGCCCATTCAGTGAATAGGCCTATTTAAGAAGTGAGTCAAGCGATGGCCCCTTTAATAGAAAGAGAAACAATTACTATTTATGTTCATTCTGAGCCAGGAGGACCCAAAAGGTTACCATTAAGTGGTGCTTGGGAAGGAACTTTTTGTTGCCCAGTCAGTGACAGCCCCAGTGAACTGAGTTTAAGACTTGATCTTTAAGAAAGAAATCTAGCCAGCACACCCCAAGATAACTAGGTAGGTTTCAGCCATCATGCCCTTACCTGAGGATGTTCTGCCCAAAGGAAGGTAAATTTTGATGTCTGAAACCTACTTAGCTCCTGGCTCAGAGTGAATATAAATAGTAATTGTTTCTCTTTTGGCCAGCAACCCTGACAGTCTTCCCCTCCTTGTTTATTTATTTATTTATTTATTTGTTTATCCATTTGTTTGTTTGTTTGTTTTTATTAAAGGGCCCATCCCTTGACTCACTTCTCCTTTAAATACAATTCATCTGCAAGTCATGCCATCATCTTCCTGATGTCATGATCGTCTTCAAGAGAATGAAGGACAAACTACAACCTGTCCCAGCTGCCACAGTGGTGACCCAGCCAGTTCCAGTTGGCCAAATACTTAGCTACAATCACAATCCATGGAATGTGGCTATAGTCCTTCTCCATATGCTCTAAATCAAAGGACTATGTATGTTTTCTTAGCTCAGGAAATGGCTTATCCAGCT